ACAAAACGAATTCGGTAGAATTAAGTGTTCTTATCCCCCCATTCCCCACCCAGCAAAAATTTAAAAAAAAAAATTAAAAAAAAAGGAAAAAAAGAAAAACACAACAACTCCATTTCCTATCTCATTTCGCCCGGCATAGTAATTGCAATTTTAAAACATTGCACACCCCAATAACACAGGACCTAGAACCAGTAAATTCTGAGGAAAAAAATGAAATGCGACCGAAATAACCTGACAGATAATCGAAATGGGTCTACAAATTTTGTGCATTAGCTGAAGAAGAGGTTAAAACAGATCGACAAAGCTAGCAAGAGTTCTCACCTTTGACAGCATGAACATAATGAGGTTATCCAGAAAGATTCTCGAAAACCTGAAAACTTTTGCGTCAAAGGGGCCGATTAGAAGAAAAGAATGGCAGAAAGATTAAGACCAAAAAATGCAGAGCTCCTGGTCGATTCGGAGGAAGGAATGGGAATAAGGAAATCAAAATTTCGGTTGGTAAGAGCCACAAATCCGGTCCGATAATTCAGAGACAACGAGACAATGTGTTTTTTTAGCAGGAAAATATTGGGAAAATGGTTTGATTTGAAACGAAAAAAGTTGAACGAAACATGGAAAATAGTTGAGGGAAGCTCCTTTTTTATTTTTATTTTTCTGTTTATCTTTTTTGCAGAAGAAGGTGCTGTACTTTTCGGTATTTATGCTTGTGGCCCCGCACCAAAAAAAATTGGAATCCTGTTCCCGCCTTTTGCCATTCCGTTTCAGTTAACGAACGTTTTAAATTTTAATTTTATTTATTATTTATTCATATATTATGACGGAATTAACGATGGATTTTTTTTTATTGTATTTTAACGAGTTTAAAGATAGTTTTTTGGATTATACCATATGTTTTTTGTTTTTATCATTTTGTCCTTACTTTTCTATTATTTTCAGTTTAATCCTACTTTGAGATTTATGTAATTCTAGTAGTTCTTGTTCAAATATTAAATAGATATGTATTTATTACATTAACACTAGATTTTTTTAGTACAATTTATGGATGTGAAAATAATCGAACTTATGACCTCTTATTCATATATTGTTGAGCTAAGTTCATTTGGACGTTAACACTACATTAGTATCAAATCAAGTTTTTGCTATATTTAACTTATCAATTTTAACTTTACGTACTTTACTGTTGAAGAGGTATTGACAATAATGTACGAGTAGTTTTGATTGTACAAATACCACTACAACTATTGAATAAAAAATTCAATGGTATTTAACATTCAGTGTAAATTCTGAAATATGAATGAACCTATAGACTTAAAAGATATTTGAAAATCATTTTATGAAGATGATAAAATGTATATTACATTTAAACGTAATTAAATGTGGATCAACCATAGATTGTAGTTCATTTTAACGATCAGGGTGAAGCTATTACCTCTTAATTTTTTTTTGTCTTTTTTTTTTATTCAACTGCAATTCACTTTTATGTGCTTTAAATTTTTAACCATTAGAAATTGGACAAATTTTATAGGTGATTTGTCAAATGTGACAAAGATCTAAAATGGTTGGATAAAACCCTAGAGATGTGGACAAACATATTCTAAAAGGTGATCCATGCATGGATGGATTTAGGAATTTTGTTAAGGAATAAGTAATTTCAATCCTACATAATATATATATATATTTTGAGGTTGTCAAAATATTTTATATAAATATGTTCTACAAAACTTTGTATTAAATATTAAAATCATAACGAAGAGTTGTAGTCTGTAGACCAAGATATGCCGATAATTTATCTAAATTTATTTATGTAATATATCTATCCGAACTACTATTATTTTTCAAAACGACGACTTTATCAATTTTATTTTATAGCCTCTCTTTGCTTAGAATCCAAATTAAATTTACCAGAATATTAATAAAAATAAAATAAAAATTTAGAAGATAAATAAAAAAACGATAATGATTATAATTATATGTATTAATGTAGTTGAAACGTGACAATTTTATATTATAGTCAAAACATTTAAAAGGAGTTTAAAAATGAAAAAAATTATATTATAGTCCAAGTTTGTACTCATTATTATATTTAAAATAACGTCAAATAGTCAATTTCATAGTATATAAGATGTAAAATTAATAAAAATGTCCTCCGAAAAAAAATTAATAAAAATGTATCTTAGACAATAAATTTTAAATTTCAAAATGTTCGACTTTTTAAAATTGCGTAGGATTGAAATTAAAAATTATATAAAAAAGAATTATTGAATGTAAAAATGATGATTTAAAGAGAAAAAAAATATCGGTACAGTAAATTATATATATAAAAAAGTATTACCCATATATTTTTTAAATTAAAACAAAAATAAGTTTCGATCCATGCAATAATTAGATCATAAGGTCCACCAACTTATATATTATTTATTATTTTTTTATATATATATTTTTATAAATCTACATATTTGATTGTCAATTTCTTTTTTAATATATTTGTATAGAAAATTTGCAACTTCCATATATTCTTTTAATTTTTTAAAAATTTACCTAATATATGATTTATTATTTTATTTAAGAATAAAATTGACTAATTTTTCTTTTCCTTTTTTCCTTCTATAAAAATCACAAAAAAATGGAAAATCAAGAATTATGAAAAAATAAATAAAAATATGGATTTCTTTAAAAAAAAAAGAAATAAAAGCACTGAATTGGGAAAAAATGGGAGAAAACGGGAGAAAATCACGAATTATGAAAAATAAAAAATAAAAATGATTTCATTAAGGAAAAACAAAAGCGCCAACTCTATTTTTTCAAAATATTAAAATAATTATCATCATCCAGCCCTACACGTTTGTACTTAAAAAAAAAAAAAAAAAATCACTACAGGCCCCAGGTAATTTGAGCTTCTTCGGCCAACTCTATTTCTCAAGATATTAAAATAATTTTGAGAATTATATCCCTAAAAAGAAGTTAATTTATAATTACAGGTTTGATTTTTAGGTCAACACAGGGCAAGCGAAACTCAGGACGAGATTAAACAAAAACCCTAAAGTTGGAAGTTTGAGATTCTGATCATTTCCATTCAGCTTCAATGGCGACGGAAGCGCCTTCACAAGCCCCATCCGAGGATATACAGTCCCTCTCAATCTCCGACGCTTCAGTGCAAGAGCCCGGTTGCTCATCGAACTCTTCATCAAACCAGTAAGAAATTTTTGATTCGAGATACTTGTTTTCGCATCTATATGGCCGTTGATTTGTGTTCTGAATCGGATATTACTTGCTCTGTTACGTATTTTTTCTTCAGATTGAGCTTGGACGAGAAGTTTCGAATTGTTAGAAGTGTTGGGGAAGAGTGTATCCAAGAAGATGAGCTGCGGAACCTGCTGGAGAAGAAGCCTGAACCAGTGTGCTATGACGGCTTCGAACCCTCTGGGAGAATGCATATTGCTCAGGTATTGTTTTGAGGAATCTCTGCGCCAGGCCTTCGAATTACAATTTACTTTCTTCAATGAGTCGCGTTGCATTTGGATGCATAGTGGAAACTCTAGGTGTAGTTTCTACACTCAGTGAATTGGGATTTAGTTTTCGGTGCCAATGGTATCCTGTTGACAGTTTAAATTTCAGCAGGCAAAATGGCAAACTAAGTAAGTAATACATTAATCTAGAATGCAACGAAAATTAAACAATTCCCAAGTATGTTTATTCCACTCAAGGGTCCTTTGAATACGAGAAGCTTATTTTTGCCCTCGCTCGCTTGCACAGGGAGTGATGAAGGCAATAAATGTCAACAAGCTTACTTCTGCTGGGTGCAGAGTGAAAATATGGATTGCAGATTGGTTTGCTCAGCTAAACAATAAAATGGGGGGCGATCTGAAGAAAATTGAGACTGTTGGCCAGTACCTGATCGAGATATGGAAAGCAGTGGGGATGGATCTGGAACGAGGCAAGGTCGAATTTTTGTGGTCGTCCAAGGAGATTAACTCAAGGGCATCAGAATACTGGCCCCTTGTAATGGATATTGCTCGGAGGAACAAGCTTCCAAGGATAATTAGGTATAAATATAATATTAGAGTCTGGTGCATTTTGTGTTCAATCTGCAACAGTTTGACTCATCGTTTGCTTCTTGGCTTCCCTCCCTCTCCTGCAGGTGTAGCCAAATTATGGGAAGAAATGAGCAGGATGAGTTGAGCGCCGCCCAAATTTTCTATCCATGCATGCAATGTGCCGACATTTTTTTCCTGAAGGTTTTTCTCCTTCTGATTTATCTTTCCAGTATTTTGTTGGTGTGCATTTTTCTTCTCATATTATAAGGAGGCAAAGATCTAATTTGGTATGTATGCTGCAAAATATATTTGTCTGGCTATGATATTTTTATGGTGATATAGGCTGTCCATTTCTTTTACTCTCCTCTCCTATACTGGGATGTACGGAGAGATTACCATATTTTTTTGTCAGCTCGTTGTTTAATTCCATTGCAACAGGCTGATATCTGTCAACTGGGAATGGATCAACGGAAAGTAAATGTACTTGCAAGAGAGTATTGTGATGATATCAAGAGGAAGAACAAGCCTATCATCCTATCACACCGTATGCTCTTTGCACTGACATTACTTCTTACTGATGCTCATGATATAAGCAAAGTAATATGATGCCAATGCTGGTTGCAGACATGTTACCGGGCTTACAGCAAGGGCAGGAGAAGATGTCAAAAAGTGATCCGTCATCCTCTATATTTATGGAAGATGATGAGGTAAGGCATCATATAGTGGAAATTAAGAATCCCATGTGAGGAGGGGAACTGAAATGCATCTGTCATTTTTACGTTGAGTTCAGTTTTAGGTTGCCTGAAGTGTCTGGCTCTAACATTGAGGCTAACATACGATATTCTGGATTAATGTCTATCACGTTCATCTGGTTATCTCAGGCGGAAGTGAATGTGAAGATAAAGAAAGCATACTGCCCTCCATTGATCGTGGAAGGGAATCCATGCCTGGAGTACATTAAGTATCTTATTTTCCCTTGGTTCAAGGAGTTCACGGTGGAACGAAGTGCTGATCATGGTGGAAATAAGTAAGCTTTTCTGTTCATTCAATTTCTCACTTTAGAAGTTTCAAATTAATTCCTGTTTCTTTCACCTATGTCATGATCCCAGATGTTGGTTATAATCATTTATCTTGGCCCCCTCTTTGTTTGTCGTCTCACATTACAGGACCTTCACAAGCTTCGAAGAACTGGTTGCTGACTACGAAACAGGAGTACTGCATCCTGGTGATCTCAAACCAGCATTGTCTAAGGCTTTGAATAAGATACTGGAGGTATGTTTTCATTTCTACTCAATATCTTCAAATAAAATACAGTTTCTTTACTATTCATTCATGCTCTTGCAATTTCATCTGATAAAGAAGCACCTAGCATAACTTAAGAAGCTTAATTCCTGTTATGAAAATTCAAGCAAAATTTTCAGCGATAAGGTAGTGATGCAGCTAGAATTTTTTCTAGATTATACTTGCATTATAAAGCTAAGATCTGTATCATCCATCTGCAGCCTGTACGAGAGCACTTCAAAAATGATAGCAGAGCCAAAGATTTATTAAAGAGGGTCAAGGTATGTGTTTGGCTTAATTGTTCTTAAGTAGGACCTCAAGCTAGCTTTGAAAGATAATAAAGGTTTTTAAATCACTTGTGTGTTTCTTTGTTTTTAAAAATTTGTTTTTGTTTTTGAAATTTTGCTAAGGATTCAAATGTATTTTAAGCTATGTAAAAAATACACCAAATGAATTACGAGGAGACAAACATAATTTCGAAAAACACATAATCAAAAAGTAAAATAGTTATATACGCTGAGTTTGAACCAGGTATCTCCAATTATTCTGAGGCCTTACCAAATTGAGGCTTTGAACCAATAACTGCTCTTTAAAATTTATTCTCGTAATGCATGAAATTTGACTGGGAGCTATCTGGTTTGTTCAGGCTTACCGAGTCACCAAGTGAGGAAGAATGGCCGTGTTTTCTCCTTCCCAATTTATGGATGAAGTGAAATTATTGAGGATCTTATTTGATTTTTGCTCTTTTACGGTCAATTTAGAACTTTTAAAGCTGCTTCTATACTCTAATGGGCACAGATACGAGCGTCAAAACTCATGTTTATTCTTGAGCAACGAGAAAATGAGAAGTTTCTAGTGAACTATGAGGACTTGTGTGTGTTCCACTTAAATTAGTTTGTAGCTTAAGACAAAAGCTGGCGTAAATTTGAAAGTATGACTGTGATGCTACATTTTGATTCAATAAAATTTAGATTTTGGTTAGGTGAAGTCAGTGCTCATGATTATTTTCTAATGAAGTCGCCTTTCTAAATTACTAATAAAAAAAGAAAGAAGAAAATAAGGTACATCATATTTGTCACTATTGGAAACACTGATGTTTATTAGGAAAATGTTGATTGATTTAATGATCTGTTGTACATGGTTGTTTTTTTAAATACAATAATTTTGGGTGTTAATTAGCGTTCAACTATGCTCGTGTTGGCTATAGCTGGAAAAATTTTGCTAACCAACAGACAATAGAGTCAATCCGTCGATAGGCGCAAGCAAGTGTAGCGAATCATATAGATAAGTTCCTACTTCAATAGAGTCAATCAGTCGATAGGCACAAGCAAGTGTAGCGAATCACGTAGATAAGTTCCTACTTCAACTCCGTAGATAGATGTTAGATACAACAAATTTAATTTAAGATTTTAAATATTTATATCTATGGAAATATCTGAAATTATATGAAAATGTAGACAGAAATATTAATGAAAATTATAAAAATAAAAAAATTCATAATAAATTTTTATATTAATAAATAAGTATTTCGCACTTTTAATTAAAATTACTAATATTAATATAATGTCTATATTAATTATATTGTGTTGGTATAATTTTATATTTTGTCAATTCTATTGCTATATTAATTCTCTCATTATAGATATAAAAATGTAGGGTTAAATGGTATAATTTTATATTTTGGCAATTCTATTGCGATATTGATTTACTCATATATAAAAATGTAGGGTGAAAATTGAAAATTTAATACCTTATCCTATTGTCCTAACCTTCAAAAAGCTAATAAGTGACCCACAAACATCCTACAACTGAAATACTTCTCACCATGATTCAGTTGCAAAAGAGCTGCAACTGAATTATAAGATTAGCTATAATTGATCCACAAACAGCTAATAAGTGACCCTATTGTCCTAACCTACAAAAAGCTAATAAGTGATCCACAAACATTGTACAACTGATATCATTTTATATTTTGTCAAAGCTCAGTTACACTAATCAATCTTCTATTGATGTTGTAAGATTAGCTAAAAAAAATTTCAAAATTTGTCCTGGGTTTCTTTTCCGACAGTTTGGAAGATGATGATTATTGGTGGCTTAATCCTACTGCTTTTTTTTTTTTGGTCTATTCAACAGACATCACGCATCTTATGGAGAGAAGCATGGTCTTTATTTACTAACAAATAAAAAGTTTGATAAAATTCAGCTACATTACCACTAAGACAACCAAACATAGAATAAAAATTATTGAAACAATTATTGTCCACGCTCAATAGCAAAACTTGGAGTTGAGATCTCATTCCCATTCAATCGTTGATGGAGGCTTCGATGTAATGTCTTGAACAACCCGGTTTACGCCCCGAACGCTATTGCAAATTTTTCTTGACACATTATCCAGGAATTGATGCTCAAAATTAAACCTGAATATCAAAATCCCACAGATTAGTAAGTCTTAATCAGAACTGGAGTTGAAACGAAAAATCTCAAAATATTTAGAAAGAATACGAGTCCCTGAGCTGGGGCGTGGAAGCATAATTTACTGTGATTATGCGTGGAAGCATAATTAAGCTGAGCTAAGAAGTAAAAGAAAGGAAAATACCACCATAAATTATAAAATGTCAAAAATTTAATTAGTTTCTCCTTGTCTTTAATCACAGTAATACATTACCTCGATGGTTGAACATGACATTACTAATCTAGTTTCATGTTAGGCTAAAGGTCATCCTTACCAATAGCAAGAAACTGCTTGAAGCTAGGGGAGTGAAAGCGGGTCAAATCAAAATGGTTGGCCAAAAATTTGACACCAAACAGATGTATCAGCCTATGAAAAAGTAGAAAATTGACGTTCCGAACCAACCAAACCAAATGAAACTGACAAAAACTATCCCAACCCAATTTCATCAGTTTTTTCAGTTTTAACTTAAGCACCCTTACTTGAAGATAAATGGGGAGCGAAATTTAGGAATTCAACTTAGTTTCATATAAGAAGAGAACAAACAGACAAGGATTAAGGATTTACCAATCTGCTGTCATTCCGTCTTGACTTGTAACAGCTCTCAGAGCGACAACATGAGAATGTGTCCTTTGATCACCCTGAACTCCAACTGATTTTATAGGCAAAAACACTGCAAATGCTTGCCATATTGAATCATAAAGCCCAGCGTCCTTGATTGACTGAATAAAAATCTCATCAACCTGCAAGGATGATTACAGCAAACCAAATATCACTCATAAAGCAGGAAAGTAAACTGTTTTTGACTCTCCACAACTGGAAGTTACCTGGCGAAGAACATCCAAGGCATTGCCTTCTGTTACGTCACCCAGCACTCGTACAGCAAGACCAGGGCCAGGAAAGGGGTGACGCTTTAGAAATGCTTCAGGAACGTTCAATATCCTCCCCAGTTGGCGTACCTTTAAATTTGATTTTTTATTAAAAGATTAATGAATAAAAAGAGTGATGGGCCACCCATATGCATATCTGTACAAAGGTCAAAACTATTACCTCATCTTTAAAGAGAAGTTTAAGTGGCTCAATAAGCTTCAATTTCATATCCTTGGGAAGTCCTCCAACATTATGGTGACTTTTGATTGTGTGGGAATGGGTTCTTCCAGATCCAGGTGGTGGACAAGATTCAATTACATCTGGATACAATGTGCCTTGGACCAAGTAAGAAGGCTTCTTACCAAATTTAAGCTCCAAATCATGGGCAAATGAATCAAATATAGAAATGAACTCCTTTCCAATTATTTTTCTTTTCATCTCAGGATCTATTACGCCTTTCAGCCTACTAAGAAAATGATCGGCTGCATCAACACAAGTAACTGGCAAATGAAGATCTCTTTCAAAGGTTTCCATAACACGTTCTCTTTCTTTATACCTGGCATAATCAGAAAGTGACAGTAAAAAACTCTGCAAGAAAGGTTTACATTTATCCTTTATAAAAGAAAGTGTGCCAAATTCACAAAAGCATGGTCCACGGACAACTTATATCCTATATGCCTATTTAACATACTCCTTATACAACATGGCGAGGCTTATTTATTGAAATACCAGGCAAAATATGTACCATACAGTTCAACTTCTACAGAGGTACAGAGGATAGGTCTTCTCCTTCATTATAGCAAAATTATCTATGTAAAACCCAACCATGATTTAATTATTCAGGATATAAAAGCCTAATTTTGTACCTCAATAAACCATTGTCAACAAAAACACAGTGAAGCCTTTCCCCAATTGCCTTATGGACAAGAGTTGCTGCAACTGTTGAATCCACTCCCCCTGATAATGCACATATAACATGATCATCTGGACCCACAGTTTCTTTGATTGCTTTCATTTCTTCGTCAAGAATATTCTCCATTTTCCAGCTAGCAGTAACTCCGCAGACATCAAGGAGAAAATAACGTAATGTTTCCATCCCTTCAGGTGAATGTGTTACCTACAGAATATACAAAAATTTCAACTTCTCATAAGATTGACACTAATATGATGACTATGCCAAGAATAATATCAAATCAGTTCATTATTACATAACAATCTTCAGATACTGCAAATCCCCCTTCCCATCCCACACTAGGCCAGTGGCATGTTCTTTAATAACCAACGAAGAAGCTCAATAGAGGCAACAAAGTAATTAAGACTCTCTTTTTCATCAGTTTCACCCGCAAAACATGAGTCACATTAGTTAGAAGTTCTATTACATTTCAATGCATCTCAAATCTACATCAATAAATACTATACATTAACATTATTCTGCTACCAGGGATATGTGGCCCCTAATTGCATATTGATTCATACGAGCCACATCCATAAACCCAGAAATTGCAGAAACCTGATAAAACAAAAACCTGGGTTGAAGATAAATACCTGAAACCTGTACAAGGGAGCCACAAAAATCTCTCATATCTAAAAGTTATGAAAGGCCAGCTCCAGGTAGAAGTTTATATTTTAGGTGAAACTCAAACAGCTCGTCCTATGCATAAACATGCACAAGTTTGATGTACTCGAATTAGTTTTCAAACAAGCCATCATACACACATATTCAAAGTTCGAATGACTCGAACAGAGCCGAGGTGGAACATTCCAGAATCGAAAGAAACCCGCGGTCAATCTTAAAGCTGAAAACTGAATATTAATGCAAAAAACAAACAAACAAAAAAACGTAGGATGCAACAGTGTATAAAAAAAAACACGAGTTCAAAGTTGAAGAAATGAACCCCATTACCTCCGGATGATACTGCAACCCAAAAAACTTCTTGGAATGATTTTCCACGGCCGCCACCGACCCTTGTTGACTCCGCGCCACCACTTGAAACCCATCGGGAAGTTCTGCCACCTCGTCTCCATGGCTCATCCAAACAACTTGCCGATCCCCAGCCTTCTTCGTCCCAAACAACCCATTAGCTTTCTCCACCTCAATCTC